CATTGTAGCTTCAAAATGGCGCCCAATGTGGTAAAGCTTAAAAATTTTGTCATCAACTCTAGAATTGAAATAGGATATGATCTTGTGAATAAAGCAATTTCGAATAATGCCAAACTTTCGTCTTAAATTATTAACTGAAACAAGAGCTCGATTTTTTTCTCGAAACTTTTAAATGATAATGGCGCCCAACGTTAAATATTATCCTCAAAAGTATCAAGGAAGCGAGAAATGTGCAAAATTTGCATAAGCATTCATTGTAGCGTCAGACTGGCGCCCAACGAGTCAATTAGCGTCATATGTCACCTAAAAAAGTAAAAAAATATGGATGTAGAAATATGGCGCCCAACGGGAGATTCTATTTATAAAGAGGAAAAACTCTCCAAATTCCCAGTAAAACAATTTTAAATTGGTAAACTGCCATCTTAAATTGTTAACATCACGGTACCCAGCCTGAAAAATGAGATCTATTCCTACTCAAAACATTTAAATTAATCTGAAAAATTAAAATGTCGCCCAACGTTAAATCTTATCCTAAAGAAATCTCGAAGATTATGATTGATGGAAAGTACCAAGGAAGCTGGTGAAGACATAGGCAGAAATATGCAAAACTATCATAAGCGTTTATTGAAGGGTCAGAATCGCGCATATTTAAAAAAAAAAAATAATAAATAAATGTCGATAACAAATGAATGTCCCTGAAGTAGTAAATCGATATTGTCGTGGGATTTGAATCACTTTCCAAATTTGGTCTAAAGGGAAAATTTTGGCTCTAATATTTTACAATAATTCCGTGTTAGAACCCCTTTTTTCCGTTCTATTCTGAAAATATCTTCAAACGGCCATCTTTACTGATCTTCCATTCTTTTAGATTTTTTTCATATTTTTTTTTTTGATCACTTTCCAAATTTGGTCAAAAGGGAAAAAGTGGGCTCTAATACTTTACAATAATTCCGTCTTAGAACCAATTTTTCCATTCTATTCTGAAAATATCTTCCAACGGTCATCTTTACCGATCTTCCATTCTTTTTGATTTTTTTTTAAATATTTTAATTTAGTATTGATTTTTTTAATATATATGGTTACCATACAATCCTTATCTCAGATATATATATTTATATATGAGCCTATTTCGGAAAAAAAACTTCTTACATTTCTAGGTTCTACTAAGAGAGAGATACATTTTTTTCTGAAGGAAAACAGAGAGAGATTGAGAGGTACAGTGTTCGTAATGTTTGTTTTTTGCGATATTTCGGTTACATTATTTTCTTTTTTGAAGTGATTGGTAGGTTTTTTTGAAAAATTGTCTTAAATATTTGACTTATTTTGTCTAGGAAATAACTTCTAAAACTAAATGTCTACAGAGATCAAAAAATGTGTTAATAAATACATGGATTATACAGTCACAGCTTTTATATGCAATGGGTTTTCAATTTTAATTTCATTTTTTGTTTTTGGTTTTTAATATAATTTGTAATATTTAAAATATTAGAGATCCTTTGGTTTTGTTTGACTTACGTTTTAGTTTCAGAACTAGTTCTATTTCATTTTTTTTTTTTGAATAATATTTACAAAAATTAACGCGCATTTAAGAACAATGATTGGTTTAAGGTTTCTTTGGGTAGAGGAGAGATTTCTTTCAAGGGAAAAATCTGCTAATACTGCTTTATGGCGATCTGGTGATCCTTCTTTCATGTTTGACACTCAAAGTATGAAGCCCAGGCAACTAGGGCAAAGATTCCTTAGTGGGTTGCTATTATTATAGCAGTAGTACATGTAAGTGTTTGCGTTCTGCTGATCTGGTTTCAGCTCCAGGTTTAGAAATTCGGCTACTTTAATGGGCTGTAGCCAGAGATCTTCTGTAGTGAGTTGGGTGGGTGCAGAGTATTATTAATTAAAGAGTAGCAGCGTATTGTGCGGGCCTGTATCAGACGATTTGGAGACGACTACACCATCCTGAACGTAATTGCGGCAAAACTACTCTGCTTTGTCTAGGCAGCTGGCGTTCTTCAGCTCCAATGGAAGGAGGTGGACGGTATTCATTTAATAACTGCTGCTGGCATCCGCGACTACATCGGTATGAATACCACTCAGACCTGCCTGATAGGCTTCTTGATCTAGAGGTTCTCTCCTATAGTGTAATGTACCCCCTTCTCTAGATTTTTGTAGCAGTAGTACATGTATGTGTTTGCGTTCTGCTAACCTGGTTCCAGCTCCAGGTCTAGAAAAGCGGCTACTTTAATGGGCTGTAGCCAGAGATCTTCTGGAGTGAGTTGGGTAGGTTTGACTGTGCAATTAAAGAGCTGCAGCGTATTGTACGGGTCTGTATTACACGCCGGGCAGGCGTCACGCACATCTTCATCAATTCGTGCCCAATACGAATTGAGCGAAAACTACCCTGGTTTGTCTAGGCAGCTGGTGTTCTTCAGCTGCAATGGAAAGGGGAGAGGACTCCGAGGACGGCATTCATTTTATAACTGCTGCTGGCATCCGCGACTATATCGGTATGAATGCCACTCAGACCTGCCTGATATGCTTCTTGATCTACAGGTTCTCTCTTATACCGTTGCACCTCCCTCTCTAGATCGTGTATGTCCTTCCTGGCGAGCCTGGATGGGGGAGTTGTATCCACGATATGATGGTTGGGATGACCATCACGGTAATTATGCTGACGTACGGGAAGGACTTTCGCCTCCTCATGTAGATGGTCCCCTGGTGTCATGAGAAGGCACCCTGTCGCAGTTCTCAGGGTAGCGTTCTGGATGTGCTTCCACTGCGTATTATTCGCAGACCACACTGGAGCCGAATAGCTGACCACATACCGACCTATCGCGTTATAAGAGGTCAACAAGATTCCCTCGATGGTCCACTGGTGTCATGAGAAGGCACCCTGTCGCAGTTCTCAGGGCAGCGATCTAGATGTTCTTCCACTGCGTAGCACTAGCATTCGCAGACCACACTGGAGCCTCTTAGTTGACCACAGACCGACCTATCGCGTTATAAGGGGTCAACGAGGTTCCCTAGATGGTCCAGGAACCCTATCGCAGTTCTCAGGGCAGCGATGTGCTTCCACCGCGTAGCACTAGTATTTTATCGCAGATAGCTGTGGTTTGCTCGGACGACTTGAACATGCTGTCGAATGTGACCCCTAGAATCTGGGGGTAGTTCGTGATCGGTATTCAACTCCTCTCAAACTGCCCATTCACCTGTTTTCTCATCTCCGCAGACCATGTGGTAAAGAGTGTGGCCATTGATTTCGTGGCGGATATTTTCATATTCCTCGCGTGGAAGTATGGGGCCTCGCGGAGCTTGGGATTTAGCCTTTCACATATGTCATCGACCACGGGGCCCGACGCCATTATCGTAGCCGACCACAGACCGACCTATCGCGTTATAAGAAGTCAACAAGTTTCCTTGTCCGCAGCCCAAGTGCTGCCGGCTAGCGCCTTGAGGTCCTTGTACCTAATATTCATCTTATCGCAGATAGCTGTGGCTTGCGCGGACGACTTGAACATGCTTTCGAATGGGACGCCTAGAATCTTGGTGTAGGTCGTGGTCGGTATTAAACTAATCTCGACCTGCACATTCACCTGTTTTCTCATCTCCGCAGACCATGTGGTAAAGAGTGTGGCCGATGATTTCGTGGCGGATATTTTCATATTCCTCGAGTGGAAGTATTCGGCAAGCTTCGCGAGATAGGGATTCAGCCTTTCACATATGTCATCGACCACTGGGCCCGACGCCATGATCGTAGCTGACCACAGACCGACCTCCTATCGCGTTATAAGAGGTCAACAAGGTTCCCTTGTCCGCAGCCCAAGTGCTGCCGGCTAGCGCCTTGAGTAGCTTGATCCTACTTTTCATTTTATCGCAGATAGCTGTGGCTTACGCGGACGACTTGAATATGCTGTCGAATGTGACCCCTGAAATCTTGGGGTAGTTAGTGATCGGTATTCAACTCCACTCAAACTGCTCATTCACCTGTTTTCTCATCTCCTCAGACCATGTGGTAAAGAGTGTGGCCTGGATTTCGTGGCGGATATTTTCACATTCCTCGCGTGGAAGTATGCGGCAAGCTCGGCGAGATAGGGATTCAGCCTTTCACATATGTCATCGACCACTGGGCCCGACGCCATGATCGTACATTCATCCGGATACGTTACGATCTCTATGCCGTCTGGAGGGCGAAGAATTCCGGAAAGGAATATCACTCCGGAATTCCACGTACGGCTGGCGACCCCACATTTAGTTGACTATCCAACGTTTCAAACTTGTCCGGAGGGTGGTTCTCTGCTCGTCCTCAAACAGTATGGCATGAATGACCGCATCGAACGGCTTTTAATAGGTCAAGGGCTACCAACACTATTCTGTCACACGGCTTGTCCTGGTTCAATTCTCTACTAATATGTGTGGAAATGGCGTGTAATGCTGTTGTGGTACTATGTTGTGCATGGAACCCGTGCTGATGGTTGGCAACTGTATAGCTTCGGCTAATGCTGTAGCTAAGAAAAGCGAAATCGGCCTCTACGATTCGCCTTTACTGGCATCTTTGCTTGGCTTCAGTAGCGGGTCCACCCGTCCCATTTTCCAAGCTTCGGACACTATGTAGGTGGCTAGCGACAGGTTGAGAACTTTCGTTAGGTAGTCGACTCCCGGCGAATCCAGCTGTTTCAGCATTACCATTGATATTCCGTCTGGGCCTTACGCCTTGGATGACTTAGTGTTCCGGATGACATTTGCAACATAGCCCATCGTAAACTGTGGTGGTTCCTTCTCGGCGAGAAGAGATCTGATACGCTTAGTGGGAAATTTTTTTCATTGTGTGGCGCCCAACGTAAATTAACCATTAGCAAATGGCGTCCAATGCCACATCTTCAAGTTTTCTATTTCGGTATCAGTGAAAAATCACATTTTTTTTGCAATGGCGCCCAACCTTGTTTAACCTTCCGAAGCATTTAATATTTCATCGGCGTCCATTGTCTGGATTAAGCAGTGTCCCGTCTTCAAGTTTTCCCGAATGGGTAACCATTCGACTCAAAAAATCTTTTTTCCCCTTTCGGAAATCTATCTCCTCTCCCCGCTCTAAACCTGTGTCCTTTTCATTGTACGCGTTTGACTCTGATGCCTTAGCGTTCCGCTAACCTTTTTCATGTCCCTTACAATTTTACACTCCTCCGCCAAAATCTCCTTGGCCGACAACTTACGCTGCCGGTCCTTTTGTCCTATGGACGTTAGCTCCTCATCACTTTCCTCACTGTCATCGGCAAATTGTATGTCGGCCGTTAAGGAAGAATAATTCTGTAGATCACTTGGTGATTTAACCACAGATGTTTCCTTTTCAATGTATGAACCATTCATGGAATCCGTTTCCAAAATGGTTTCCGGTTCCACCACCTGTTGCTGATGTTGCTGCTGATGATTTTCTTGTCTCAGCAGTAGATTTCTCGCCGATTTGGTAACATTTAACTCCTTGAGGGGTATACTCTCCTCATCCTTGTCATTATGGCCCAGAGACATGGTGGATTTGGATTGCTGCCTTTGGGCCTTGCGCTTCTTGCGCGAAAGATATGGTGTCGATTGTTTGGAGGTGGAGCCGGAGTTTTGGGAATTCGTTGAAATTGCCTTGCGTATTAGGCAATTTTTCAAATCCGTTTCGGAGGGTGTTGTCGCCTTGGAATGGAAGTTGCTATTCAGCGGTGATAATTCATCTGATATGGGACTGGTATTGGTGGTGGTATTGGTACTGGAATTTGTGTTGCTATGGGGACTTAGGTAGTGGCCAAATTTTGGCATCTTGATATCCTCGTAGAGGGGTTGATTTTCATCCGGTATGGGTTCGGGGGTTTTGTCGTCATCTTCCCTTTCCGGTGAGTCGGGTATATCATCGAACGGGGGTATCCATATCAAATAAGCTGGATCCATGCCCAAATATGATCCCGGTGCCGCACCGGCATTTGTCACATTGTAGTCATAATAATCCAACTCAAAATCCTCCTGGGTCCCCAGCGAAAATTCCGAACCTGGCCTGGCCAAGAGTTTTTTGCGATTCTGTTTCTCTTTACTTTCCTTGGCATTGGTGCTGCGTATGGTGGCCGAGCTAATGATGCTCGAGGCAGGTGAATAACAACCCTGAAAAAAAATATCGAAAATTATAAAAAACTCCTCTCCAAATCGCTTCCAATTTACATTTGTCAAATTAACGCTACTGCAACGCGGATTCCTCCTCTGCTGCTGCATTACAATCGATTTCAGCGATTCACAATCGGTTTTCTCTTCGATATAGGAATTGGTCATTTTCAAGGTGGCCGCATCGTAACGTTCTGAATATTTACTGCTACGTTTCGTATTCATTGGTGGGCTATTGCATATCGAAGACATTCCCGAAGATATAATACTTTCGGAATCTTTACCGCTATCCTTACGTTTCAGGGTGGCATTTCGAGGATCATTTTCATCTCGCTCTTCTTCATCGCCATTTGAGCATTCGCTGGGCGTGCGATTAGCCAAACCCTCTTCTGTGGTGGGCGAAATGATTTCATTGCGCAATGTGACTATGGATCCGGTACTGCCAAGTTCATCGACGCTGTAAAGGAGAAATGAGAAAGAAAAAATTATTTTTAAACGCTTCAAACAAAACGAAAAATAATTTAATTAAAAAAATGTGAAAAACAGTTGGGCGCCATTTTGCAAATTTGTGTCGTAATTCCTTCTTGTATTCCGCAGTAAAAGTGTTTTAAGTACCACAAAGACACCGGAATAATTATCGAACTATTACTTGCATGGCTTAAAATGTTGGAAACGGTTGGGCGCCACTTTGCTGAGTTGAAAATAAATATTATTCTCCATGGATTGTATGCCAGTCAAACCTAGGAATACCTGTTCTGTTGATATTCAAGTTCATTTTCATATTTTCGGGCAATGGAGCTTTAACCTTATCTCCAGAAAAATTATATTTATCAAGTATTTGTTCCTGGTTGATCCCGAAAACACAGGAAGATTTACCTCTTCATTTTCAGAGCGAACCTTTGAAGATCTTAACCTTCTCCCTCAAGGTCCCTGTGGATCCTGGGAATGTTGCAGATTGATCGGTTTTCAGTGCTACACCTAAAAGTTCACGGAGTTCGTTCCACAGAAAATTCCAAACGAAACAAATTTTTTATTCGAGATGGATCTAACGCTTGAACTTTTTTGAATATTTAAAAAACTAGTCTAAACTGCCTTAAATCCGCGAGATTTTTTCCGCACACCAAGCGCGGAGAATGCTGAATACGCTGGAATAAATTTATTGAAAAATATTTGCTCTGACTTTTATATATTTTGAGCTTGAAGTCCAAACTTGACTTAAGTGAATGTGGTGTCTGTCTCCTGTTTCATTTAAGGCCTAAAAATTCTACCAAGGGCCCGAAGGAACCTGACAATATATTAAGAGATAAAATGAAGTTCCTACAAATTAGAATGATTGGTTTTCGGTGCTACCGAAGTTCAAAGAGGTTGTTCCACAAAAAATACCAAACTAATCAAATATTTTATTCGAAATGGATCTAACGCTTGAACTTTTTTAAAAATTTGAAAAACCAATCTAAACATCTATAAATCTCCGAGATTTTTTGCATACACCAAGCGCGGAGAATGCTGAATACGCTGGAATAAATTTATTGAAAAATATTCGGTCTAACTTTTATATATTTGGAGCTTGAGGTCGAAACTTGACTTAAGTGAATGTGGTACGTTTTTGGAATGTGGAACTTTTTTAAATATTTCAAAAACCAGTATAAACATCTATAAATCGTCGAAATGTTTTCCTCACATGAAGCGCGGAGAATGCTGAACACGTTGGAATAAATTTATTTAAAAATATTTGCTCAGACTTTTACATATGTGGTGCTTAGAGGTCGAAACTTGTCTCAAAGGAATGTGGTATCCGTTTCCTGTTTCAATTAATGCCTTAAATTTCCACCAAAGGCCCGGCGTATTCAGACAATGTATGAAGAGATAAATTGTTGTTCCAACAAAGTAGAATGATCCGTTTTCGGTGCCATACCTAAAAGTTCACCGATTTTGTTCCGCAGAATATTCCAAATTAAATAGATATTTTATTGAAGATGGATCTAACGCTTGAATTTTTTTAAACATTTGAAAAACCAATCAAACCATCTATGAATCGCCGAAATTTTTTTCTCACATCAAGCGCGGAGAATGGTGAATACGCTGGAATAAATTTATTGAAAAATATTCGGTCTGACTTTTATATATTTGTAGCTTGAAGTCGAAACTTGACTTAAGTGAATGTGGTATATTTTTTTTGGGATGTGAAACTTTTTTAAATATTTGAAAAAAAAAACAGTCTAAACATCTATACATCGCCGAGATTATTTCCTCACATGAAGCGCGGAGAATGCTGAACACGTTGGAATAAATTTAGTGAAAAATATGTGCTCAGACATTTATATATTTGGATCTTGAAGTCGAAACTTGCCTCAAAGAAATGTGGTATCAGTCTCCTGTTTCATTTAAAATTCCACCAAGGGCCCGAAGGATGCTGACAGTATATGAAGAGATAAAATGTAGTTTCTACAAAGTAGAATGATCCGTTTTCGGTCCTACACCTAAAAGTTCACCGAGTTTGTTCTACAGAAAATTCCAAATTAAAAATAAAATTTATTGGAGGTGGATCAAACACCTGAACTTTTTTACAAATTTGAAAATTCAATCTAAATAACCTTAAGTCCCCTAGATTTTTTTCTCACATCAAGCGCGGAGAATGCTGAATACGCTGGAATAAATTTATTGAAATATATTTGCTCTGACTTTTATATATTTGTAGCTTGAAGTCGAAACTTAACTTAAGTGAATGTGGTACTTTTTTTGGAATGTAGAACTTTTTAAAATATTTGAAAACCCAGTCTAAACAGCTTTAAATTCCCGAGATTTTTTCCTCACATGAAGCGCGGAGAATGCTGAATAGGTTGGAATAAATTTATTGAAAAATATTTGCTTAGACTTTTATAAATTTGGAGTTTGAGGTCGAACTTGCATCAAGGGAATGTGGTATCTGTTTCCTGTCTCATTTAAGGCCTTAAAATTCCATAAAGGTCCCGATGGATCCTGACAACATATGAAGAGAAAAATTGTAGTTCCAACAAAGTAAAATGATCGGTTTTCGGTGCTACACCTAAAAGTTCACCGATTTTATTCCGCAGAATATTCCAAATTAAAAATTAAATTTATTGGAGGTGGATCAAACACTTGAACTTTTTTTTAAAAATTTGAAAACTCAATCTAAATAACCTTAAATCCCCGAGATTTTTTCCTCACATCAAGCGCGGAGACTGCTAAATACGATTTAATAAAATTAAAGAAAAATATTTGCTCTGACTTTTATATATTTGGAGCTTGAAGTCGAAACTTAACTTAAGTGAATGTGCTACTTTTTTGGAATGTGGAACTTTTTAAAATATTTGAAAAACCAGTCTAAACATCTATAAATCGCCGAGATTTTTTCCTCACATGAAGCGCGGAGAATGCTGAACGCACGTTGGAATAATTTTTTTGAAAAAATATTTGCTCTGACTTTTATAAATTTGGAGCTTGAAGTCGAAACTTGCCTCAAAGAAATGTGGATCAGTCTCCTGCCTCACATAAGGCATTAAAATTCCACATAGGTTCCGGAGAATTCTTACAATGTAGTTTCTCTTCCTCTTCCTTTGTAGTTCCAACGAAGTAGAATGATTGGTCTTCGGTGCCATACCTAAAAGTTCACCGAGTTTGTTCCACAGAAAATTTCAAATTGAATAAATATTTTATTGAAGATGGATCCAACGCTTGAACTTTTTTAAATATTTGAAAAAAACAATTTAAACAGCTTAAAATCGCCGAGATTTTTTCCACACACCAAGCGCGGAGAATTCTGAATAGGTTGGAATAAATTTATTGAAAAATATTTGCTCAGACTTATATATATGTGGTGCTTGAGGTCGAAACTTGAAGTGAATGTGGTATTTTTCTTGGGATGTGGAACTTTTTTAAATATTTGAAAAACCAGTCTAAACATCTATAAATCGCCGAGATTTTTTCCTCACATGAAGCGCGGAGAATTCTGAACACGTTGGTATAAATTCATTGAAAAGTATGTGCTCAGGCATTTATATATTTGGAGCTTGAGGTCGAAACTTGACTTCAATTGAATGTGGAATCTGTCTCCTGCCTCCCATAAGGCATTAAAATTCCACATAGGTTCCGGAGAATTCTTACAATGTGGGAAGAGAAAATTTGTACTTCCAAATGAAGTAGAAAGATCGGTTTTTGGTGCTAGACATTCCGCAGAATATTCCAAAATAAAAAGATATTTAATTGAAGATGGATCCAACGCTTGAACTTTTTTAAACATTTGAAAACTTAATCTAAACAGCTTTAAATCGGCGAGATTTTTTCTTCAAATGAAGCGCGGAGATTGGTGAACAGGTTGGAATACATTTATTGACAAATATTTGCTCAGATATTTATATATTTGGAGCTGGAGATCGAAACTTGACTCAAGTGAATTCGGTAACTGTCTCCTGTCTCATTTAAGGCTTAAAAATTCCATCCAGAGCCCGGAGCATTTCCATACTTTCTCAGAACCCCATGAACCGCTGCTTAACTCACCTACAATTGTTTTGCAGACGAGTGAAGTGTCTCCCCCTTTATCGCTTCCTAAATTAAAATGACTTCAGGATCTTACTCACCTCTTAATTGTGGGTTCCTTAATGATTGATTCATTCATTTCCGTTTCCCTTGCCAAATTCTCAGCATCGACACTCTCCCGTAGAATAGAATGTCTTAGCTGATGTTTCGGGCGCATTTTAACCATATAGATAACTTCCGAGATAAGAGTTGTTGTCGATATGGCTCTAGAGGGTGGACTTGCCAGGGAATTCATAGAGGCGCTTGGCGTGTGGAGTCGGGATCCTTCATCGCGGCGTTTGGCAATGGCCAAGTGATATTTGCGATATCGCACCACATATTGGGCTCCTGCGGCAGAAGAAAAAACTTATTTTATTAACGGCCTCCTTGTTTGGCTTCCCAAAACTTACCCAACAAGGCGCTTATCAGTATTATAATGCTGGCAAAAACAATGGCGCTCAGATGGACCAAAGTAAATTTCGTCTTCATTTTAGGTTTTTGCAAAAATGCTCTGCTTTTCACTGTCAGTCCAGTGGCTGCCATTACCGGCCTTAATGAGGCTGTGGCATTTTTTCCTAGCAACGAAAAAATTATTTAACAAATGTTTACAGATTAGACATTTAATAAATCATTTTCGACCCCCACATCACATCAAGGTAGACATGAAAGGAGAGAGAAAGAGACCAACAATTACTCACCAATTTGTTCCACATTAGCCAAAAAACCACCGGTACATATTTGGCCCGTATGGATTTCAGTGTTGTTAGCAATGCTGCCACCGCTGCCATCCTCACCGGCAAAGAATTCCAATAATAATTGAGCTCCACTGGATTCCACAAAAACAGGTAAATTGCCATTGCCCTGGGATGTGGTGGCTCCAGCCGAGTTAACCGCACCAGCAACTCCATTGCCACCTCCCATGCCTGCTCCTCCTCCACCACTGCCACCCTGTAACTCTATCAACAATGTGGATGATAATGATGGCCCATCACGTATTTTGATGTATTGTGTGGCACACGGCAAACGCAGAAAGCTCAACTGCAGAGCAATAGTCTCTTCACCATCAACCTGGAATATGGACAGAAAAAAAAAAAAAAAAAAAACAAATGAATGAATGTCAGATGAATGCGAGTAAAAAGGGTGGACGTTTTGTTTTGTATGTGAGTTCTTGCTCAATCAGTATCCCGCATTGCCAGGTTTCAAACAAAGGATGGAATTCATAGCTGCTACTGGTGATAGTGCGGGTGTTGTGCCATTCTATTTGGCTATGCAGTCGATAACATTTCAATATTGAATTCATCATTCATAATGTGTGTACACATCCTTTGTTTGTTTCCATGCGATGTTTGATGCAGTGCCGGAGGAGAGTTAACCCTCAAAATGACTGGGACCAAAGAAAAAAATCGCAGGTGGGGAAAATATTTCATACAAAAACATGGATAAAGAAAAACTCCAACAGAACCAAGAACCTGATTGATCCCGACAACATACGAAGACTTCTCTCTCCATCAAGGTTCCTGTGAGTCCTGCGAATATTGTAGATTGATCGGGGTTCGGTTCTACATCTAAAAATTCAAATAGTTTGTTACCCAAAAAAATTCCAAATTAAACAGATATTTAATTGAAGATGGATCTAACGCTAGGAATTTTTTAAATATTTGAAAGACCAATCTAAATATCTTTAAATCACCGAAATTTTTTCCACGTGCCAAGCGCGGAGAATGCTCAATAGGATGAAAAAAATTTATCGAAAAAATATTTGGTCAGGCTATTATATATTTGGTGCTTGAGGTCGAAGCTTGACTCAAAGGAATGTGGTATCTGTCTACTGTCTTATTTAAGGCATAAAAATTGCTTCAAGCGCCTGGTGCATTCTGACAATGTATGAAGAGCAAAATTATAGTTCCAACGAGGTAGAATGATCGGTTTTGCGGTGCTACACCTAAAAGTTCACCAAGTTTGTTCCACATAACATTTCAAATTAAACGGATATTTTATTGAAGATGGACCAAACGCTTGAACTTTTTGAATATTTGAAAAATCAATTTAAACAGCTTTAAATCGCCGAGATTTTTTCCACACACCAAGCGCGGAGAATATTGAATAGGCTGGAATAAATTTATTGAAAAATATATGTACAGATTTTTATATATTTGGAGCTTGAGGTCGAAACTTGACTCAAAGAAATGTGGTATCTGTCTGTCTCATTTAAGCCCTTAAATTTCCACCAATGTCCCGGCGTATTCTGACAATATATAAAGAGAAAAAATTTAGTTTTTAAAGAACGACAAAGCAGAATGATCGGTTTTCAGGTATACATCTAAAAGTTAAACGAGTTTTCTCCACAGAAAATTCCAAATTAAACAGACATTTTATTAAAGATGGATCAAACGCTTGAACTTTTTTAAATCTTTGAAAACCCAATGTAAACAGCTTTTAGTCGCCGAGATTTTTCCCACACACCAAGCGCGGATAGTGCTGAATAGCTTGGAATAAATTTATTGAAAGATATTTTGACAGAAGTTTCATATATTTGGAGCTTGAGGTCGAAACTTGACTCAAAGGAATGTGGTATCTGTCTACTGTCTTATTTAAGGCTTGCGATCTATCCTAGATTTTAGAAAATATTTTTTAAGAATTTACGTTCCATTTTTGAATTTAAAAATATTTTTTAAGGATCTGCGATCTATCCTAGATTTTGTAAAATATATTTTTAAGGGTCTACGTTCCGTTCCGGATTTAAAAAATATTTTTTTAAAGATCTGCGATCTATCCTAGATTTTGAAAAATATTTTTTTTAAGAATCTGCGTCCCATTCTCTCCTAGAATTTGAAAAATATTTTTTAAGAATCTACGTCCCATTCTGGTTTTAATAATATTTTTTTAAGGATCTGCAATCTATCCTAGATTTAAAAAAATATTTTTTTATGAATCTACGACCCCTCTTTGATTTTAAAAATATTTTTTTACGGATTTGCGATATATCCTCGATATTGAAAAATATTTTTTAAAAATCTACATCCCATTCTGGATTTTAAAAATAATTTTAAAGGATTTGCAATTTATCCTAGATTTATAGATTATATTTTTAAGAATCGACGACCCATTCTGGATTTTTCAAATATTTTTTAAGAATCTGCGATCTATCCTAGATTGAGAAAAATATTTTTTAAGAACCTACGCCTCATTCTGGATCTCAAAAAATATATTTTTTAAGGATCTGCGATGTATCCTAAATTTTGTAAAATATTTTTTAAGGGTCTACGTCCCATTCCGGATTTTAAAAATATTGTTTATAGATTTGTGATCTATCATAGATTTTGAAAAATATTTGCGATCTGTGCTAGATTTAAAAAAAAATTTAAGAATCTGCGTCCCATTCTGTCATATAATTTGAAAATTTTTTTTTTAAGAATCCAAGTCCCTGGTTTTAATATTTTTTTAAGGATCTGCAATCTATCCTAGATTTTGAAAAAAATATTTTTTATGAATCTACGAACCCTCTTTGATTTAAAAAATATTTTTTAATGATTTGCGATCTATCCTTGATATTGAAAAACATTTTTTAAAAACCTACATCCCATTCTGTGGTTAAAAAATATGTTTTTAAGGATCTGCAATCTATCCTAGATTTTAAAAAATATTTCTTATGAATCTACGACCCCTCTTTGATTTTAAAAATATTTTTTTAAGGATTTGAGATCTATTCTAGATTTTGAAAAATATTTTTTTTAAAATCTACATCCCATTCTGGATTTTTAAAATATTTTTAAAGGATTTTGAATTATAGAATTATAGATCTTGAAAAAATATTTTTAAGAATCGACGACCCATTCTGGATTTTAAAAACATTTTTGTAAAGATTCTGCGATGCATGGTAGATTTTGTAAAAAAAAAAATTAAAGAATCTACATCCCATTCCACATTTTTAAATATTATTTAAACGATCTGCTATGTACCCTATATTTTGAAAAAAAAAAAATATATATATTTTTTAAGAACCTACATCCCATTTTTTTTTAATATTTTTTTAAGGATCTACCCTAGGGGTTTTGCAAAATATTTATATAGAATCGACGACCCATCATGGATTTAAAAAATATTTTTTTAAGGAACTGCGACCCATCCTAGATTTTGAAAAAAATATTTTTAAGGATCTGCATCCCATTTTGGATTTTTAAAACATTTTTTTAAGGACCTGCGATTTATTCTAGGTTTTTGAATTTTTTTTTTTAGAATGGCTTTTTGAAATATTTATTTATATATGCGATCACTCCTCTATTTTGAAAGATATTTTTAAGAATCAACGACCCATTCTGGATTTTAAAAACATTTTTGTAAAGATTTGCGTTATATTCTGGATTTTGGATTTTGAAAACTATTTTTTAAGAATCTACGACCCCTCTTTGATTTTAAAACAATTTTTTTTACGGATTTGCGATCTATCCTTGATATTGAAAATTATTTTTTAAGAATCTACATCCTATTCTGGATTTAAAAAAAAATATTTTGAGGATTTGCGATCTATCACAGATTTTGAAAAATATTTTTTTAGAATATTTTTTCTAAGCTTCTGTGGCTAATCTTTGATTTTAAAAATATAGTTTTTAAAGGACTTCCACTTGTCTTGGATTTTTTAAAACATCATGTACCCTTCGGCCATCTAAGGGTTAAATATACGCGTGGGGAAAATCCATTTAAATTCACGTGTGAAATACGTATCGTACCCAAAGGGTTCGATGGCGATTATTTAAGCTCAACTAGAAGGTGTTTTAATTCCGATTTCGCTTAGCGGACTAAAAGCGAAACAAAAATTAACTATTTATGAGGCGAAAGTCTGTTTGGGATTTGAAAGAGATTAATGTGTGTGGCAAGAAGTGTTGAGATTTTTTTTCACCTGGGGAAAAAAACTATTGCTGGTGCAGGCAGTCAAATGGAGGAATTTAAATTTAGATCTAAGCGATTTATCAATGAATTGAAATTGAGTAAAAATAACTCTTGAAAAACATGTTTCCTTGAAGTTTTGAGTAACTCGCGGCGTATGAGTTCTGTCGCTAATCATACGACCTGATGTCCATTCTTTATTTTGATGGTTTTTCCCCAGTAAAAATTTACATTTTCCCAAATTTCTTTCCGAAACAAAAATTAACTATTTATGAGGCAAAAGTCTGTTTGGGCTTTGAAAGAGATTAATGTGTGTGGCAAGAAGTGTTGAGATTTTTTCCCCAGGGAAAAAGTATTGCTGATGGATGCAATGAAATGGAGGAATTTAAGTTTAGATCTAAGCGAATTATCAAAGAATTGCGTAAATTGAGTAAAAATAACTCTTGAAAAACATGTCTCCTTGAAGTTTTGAGTACCTCGCGGCGTATGAGTGCTGGCGCTAATCATACGACCTGATGTCCATTCTTTATTTTTAAGGTTTTCCCAGCAAAAAACTTACATTTTTCCAAATCTCTCCTTCTCCTCTCCCTCCTGTGATTTCCTCCTCTCATTGTGTTAAATGATGTTTCTTTATTGCTAGATTTTTTTTTGAATTTTAAATTATTATTTAAAATCTCTTCAAGAAATATTTTTAAAAATCCTCTTTCAATATTCTTCCTTAAAAAATATTTTTAAAAATCCTCGTTCAATATTCTTCCTTCAAAAAATATTTTTAAAAATCCACTTTTTTCAATCTCGTTTAGAAATGTTTCTTCCGAAAAATATTTTTAAAAATCCACATCAGATAATTCCGCTTCATAAAAATATTTCGAAAAATCCACGTCAGATAATTCCACTTCCAAAAAATATTTTTAAAAATCCACGTAGGATAATTCCACCTCCAAAAAATATTTTTAAAAATCCACGTCAGATTATTCCAATTCCAAAATATATTTTTAAAAATACTCGTCAGATAATTCCACTTCCAAAACGTATTTTTAAAAATCCACGGGAAATAATGCTACTTTCAAAAATATTTTTAAAAATCCGCGTTAGATAATTGATCTTCAAAAAAAATATTTTAAAAATCTACGTCAAACAATTCCACTTCAAAATATATTTTTAAAAATCAACGGGAAATAGTT